AGAGGTTTCAAATATATTGATTTGACTTGGAAACTTTTGGTATTTTGGAAAACTGGTCGCCGAGGAGAGGTGGTCGCTTACGAGAGGTTGTCGCAACCGGAGGTTCAGTTGCACTGTAGTTTGAAATAGGCGTTGGTAAAAAATTTCCCTTGGCTTTGCAAGTGAAGTATTTCTCATTTCAAATAAAATATTTCGGGGTTCAGTTGATCGATTCCTTATTTGGTATTTTATTGCTACTGAGGAGAGAAATTTTTGAAAGCGTTGTTATGGTCTTTTCCAACACGGTACTGGCTTTGCGTGACGCGCACGAGACCATGAGTCCCGCAATTCAAAGCGTCACAGTCAAAGCGAGCTTTCAGTCATAAAATCTTCAGAAAAAAAAATATATTGAAAATACTGAGTTTTAATAATATTGATACTTACTGAATCTCTTTAATTGAATATCGAATAATTTGTAACCTACAGGTATTTTACGGGCAAGGAATAGAAGACAGGACGAGCCAAAGGCTTCACACAGCCCAAGTTTATAGCTTCTGAGATCAAAGAAAGGACTCTGTTCCTGGTAGAGTGCTCTGTTGATTATTGCTCGTTCATTTCATACGGTGGCTCCTAAAGGAGCCTAAGCTTTCTTAGCTGGCTTCTTGGCGGGCTTCTTCGCCGCGGGTTTCCTTGCCACTTTATTGCAGAACGTTTTGGCTGCAGGCTTCTAAGCCGCCTTTTTTGTTACTGCGGGCTTCTTTGTTGCTGCTTTCTTACTTCCTTACTGGGTTTCTTTGCTACTGGCTTTTTCGCCGCTAGTTTATTTGCGGCCTTTTTTACCGCCGCTTTCTTCCCTGCCTTCTTGGCGGCGGGCTTCTTTGGTTTGGCGGCGGACTTCTTCTCTACAGCGGGCTTCTTCGGTTTCTTCTCCTTCTTTTCCCCCTTGGGCACCTTGAAGGAGCCTGAAGCACCAACTCCCTTGGTGTGTAGAAGTTTTCCACCGGCGGCGCCTCTCTTCAAAGCCATCTTCAAGAGAGGACCAGCCTCGCCAACCTCATTAGTTGGCTTTTTTAAGCTTAAAAGTTGATAAAGTAGTAACTATTTATACAATATTTCGTCTTCGCAGCTAAATAACTGTAGTTCAGGTCGCTATCATTCGAAATGTTGTAAATACTAGGAAAAATGAACTCCTTAACCGTACATTTCTCTGATCTAATTGACCCTCCTTTCGATTTCCAGACACTGAACGTATCTGAAGTTCGAACGACAAGGACAAACTGATTCAGTCCGCCATTTGTACTTCACGGTGTGATGTTCCGACCAAATTGTTAGACCTGCCTTTAACAGAGCAAACGTAACACTATTTCGGAGACGTCAAGGTTACTTAGGGATAAGAAAGCTTTTATTTAGAATTTTACTCTTAATTCTGTAAGAGCTAAGCAATGATACATGTTACAGTTCATCATTACAGGGCATTGATGAACAGGACCGAATCCAGGATTATTCTTAGGAGGGGACGTAACTGACTGGTGAGGTAAACAAAGTTAAAAAACGAATATGTAATCTCAGGGAGGGGGGTGTGCACCCCCTGCACCCTCCCCCTGGATACCCCTGTTCAACATCCCCCCCGGAAACCCCCCAGGCATTTGAACTTTTGAAGATTGGCTCGTTCAAATTCCCGCCCCCCTGGGCCAAAATAATAATTGCGTTCAAACAAGAGAAAATGAGGTGGTCTCTTGGTTCAAATGAACAATTCTTAATTTAAAGATTCCTTGTGTGATCAACGAATGTTGTAAAATTCAGCGAAGTCGCGTATTAGTTTTTGGCGCCGTTGATCATGTTGATAGGGAGTGTATCAGTGCGGGTTGCGGGTCGCGGGTGAATTGGCGCGGGTTACGTAGGGGCCTTACGCATGTACGACGGCGACGGCAAGGACGACGCCTAGTAAAAAATGTGTTTCTATTTTACTTTGGGATTTCGCATTTATTTGGAACTATCCAGTGCGTCTGTCGGTATTAAAGCTTGCCCCTGCTAAATATGCTACGAATGCGTTCAATTCCAAATAGAAATACGAAAAATTAGCCGTTCTGGTTCACGTTCTCCAGACAACGCAGAATTTGATCATTTCCCGTTGTTGTTTTGCAGAGGACGGCAAAGAAATGTACCAAAAATTGCACTCGCAGAAGCGGCTCGTGTAATTTCAGCTTTTTGAAAAACTCACTCGTGCAAATTAATTCCAAGTTGAACTCGAAACCGTATGATTACCTATACGTAGTGCATAATAATTGAATTGTATAACAAGTTTTGTTAGTAATGTAAGGGACTTTAGTAGTTGTAGCAGTGTTGTAAGTAGTGTGAATCACAATTAAAGTTATTCAAAAAAGTTAAAATAAAAATAAAAATTCAAAATAATAATAATAATAATAATAATAATAATAATAATAAACTCTCCTTCATTTTGCAAATTTCTACAGGCTCGACATCTTGGCACAGTTCCTCTTTTCTTTTTCTTTTTTCCTCAAGTCAAAATCCGTGCATGCTGGTTCCTGGCGTCTTTTCTCAAGAGATCTACTATTGGTTTCCTGGATCTGGGCGGGATAACCATTGGTGTGTTACCCAAAACTAACAAAACTTCGCTGTCAGTTAACCCAGGAAGAACTGCTATAGAAGATAACCGTTCTCCGGCACTCTGAAAATATCTAATATTGTCCATATGATGCGTTTAAATAGTTCTTTGCCCGAATTTTTGGAAAAATCTTCACATTCGCACGAGGGATTATTTCCAATTTGAACTTTGTAACCGGAACTTTCACTCTTAGAATTAACAACAATAAACGTTCTTTCGAGAGACGGCTGCGAATAACTTGATTTAGTTTTAAATGTCTCCTTCGCTTGCTTTCCCTTTTGAAGCCTCTGTACAAATAGTCTGCTTCCTATCGGCCTGTAACGACCACCTCTTGCCTCGTGAGACCTCCTCGACTACACACTTGCGTTTTGCCGATCGTACATAAGCTGCATCGGGTAGGATCATGTTCATAAGGTCCCTTTTCACCCAGCTGGCGTGAATGGTTTTCGCTTGATTCATTTTCGGGGTACTTAGTAACGGTACAAATGCCCGAAATATATCATTTCCTCCTTTGTGCCACCACTCGACCCCTGTGTAAATATTTTCGATCGCTGTCCTCTTTAATCAAATTCTCTAAGTCTTCCTTGGCCTTGTTGTATGAAACCGGGCTTTCAACCTCTAAAAGACGATTGCACAGTTCAGTTTAAAACATTTTCTGTCCTCTTCTCTTAACTTTGGAGCCTGCCGGTTCCGACAATCTTAGAAAATAACATTTGCAAGTCTTGACTCTTTTGACTGTCACCCAACCCTTCACATTTGACCCCGCCATGTCGGTAACCCAGCCACGAGGATTAAAGAATTACTTCTCATTTAGACTTTCTTTCCTTAGAACTTCGTTAAAGTTGTTCCAAAAAAGCTCGACTGAGCAAGAGTCTTCATTTTCACATTCCATTGTGGCGAAAGGTATATGTCTTCCGAGCAGAGGATGAAAGACGCTATCAGACAGTGAAACCAAACCTTTGCACCTCTTCACCTTCTCGTGGAAAAAACAAATTCTTGACTCAAGACATGGTCTTCAGTTCTGTCCATGTTACAATAGCTGCGAATTTTGCTTTAAACTTACTTGTCTTGCAAACAAATGACAGCTTATCAGGATTACCACGCCGGTCATTTAATTTATAAACATAATATGGGTCACGAGAGCCGGCCAAAGGAACATGTGTTTTAAAAAACATTTTTGAAGATAGGTCTACCAACGATCCTCCTTTATTGGTCTATCAAAATGTTTATTTTAGGTTTTTTGTTTATGATTATTTGCGTGACGCGCACTGATTACCCTCGACCCGCAACGCGTACCCGCGACCTGCGCTGTTTACCCGCGACCCGCGATCCGCACTGATTAGTCACTTTCCATTTACACTGCAGTAACTGCAGTGTAAACTGACACGCGCCTGTCTGTAATTTTCTCAATGATATACATATAATAAATGTGTGGTCGCATAAAAGCCCCAGCCTCATTGAGAGAAATGTCAACAGTCAAATTTCAAATACTACTGTGCATTTCTGGAAGTGATGTTGCGTCTGAAACATTTTAGGCGCAGACAAGTTTACCGTATGGCAAACTGACAGAAATAGTATATTCTCGAAGGCATTTCTCCAAGAACTATACCACTACTTCAGCAGCACAAAGGAAACATATCTCTGAGCTGGAAATGAAAGTCCAGCTAAGCGCGCAAAAATATCTTAATATACCCCGCGTAAATATACAATGAATAAACAACGCTCACGTAAAGGTGAAAGTATAGTAAACGGTAATCTCACAAATTAAACCCTATAAACAATCATTTATTCCAACTAAATGGACGCAATGCAAGATATATTAATGTTCCTTAACAATACGACTGTTACAAGACCTAGAAAAAATGGCTTCAAAAAAGATCTTCCGCAACTTCCTCCACGCGAATTTTTTCGTGTTTATATTATTAATAAGTAATCATACGGTTTTTCTCGTTCAATCTAGAGTTAATTTGCACTTGTGAGTTTTTTTTGAAAAGCTGAAATTGCACTCGCCGAAGCG